GTTAAAATTTGATTTGATTTTTTTATTTTAAAATTATTTATAAATTTTATAAAAAAATATTTAAACCTTTTTAAAGAAAAAGTTTGAATGTTTATCTGTTATTTAATTCTATCTGTCACCGGTTAACGTTTGGTTAGGGATATAGGGAATTTCGATTTAGATTGTATTGGGTGGTATTAGGTATGGCTGTAAACCAGCCGAATAAACATGAATGAGGTACGAGGGTATGGTTACATAATCATGTTTGTTGTTTAATTTTAATCGAATAAATAAATGAACATAAACAATTAAATTATATAATTTATTGTTCGTGTTTGTTCGTTAAGGAATGTAGTTTGTTTGTGGTCGTTAAAATTATAAACGAACGCAAATTAACATAAATTTAAATGATTTATGATTTTTTTTCAATATATCATGAATGTAAGGAAATGCATATGTGAGTAAATTTAAACGAACGAATATAAACGAACATAAACAAGCATAAATTTAAATGATTTAGAGTATTTTTTACAATCTATCATGAAACGAAAGGAAATACACGTGTGAATAAATTTAAACGAACCCCGACATAAACGAATGGATTACCAAACGTTCATGAATATAAATGAATGAACGAGACATTTGTTTATGTTTTTCATTAAATTAAATAAAAAATATATTGTTCATATTCATTCATTTAATAAATAAATGAATATACAAACTTTTTATCTAACGATTCACCAACTATCAAAATTTTACGGATAGTTGAATTTGGGTCTTCAGAAGTCAGAACAATATTGATTCGTTGAATCCTCCACCAGAGCTTGAGAAGAAGCACAAATTCAAGAATATTGTTCATACCCCTAAAAATACTAACATCAATATTATATATTGAAAAAGCTAATGAAATCTGAGATTTTTTATTTTTAAAAAAATATGTTAAGAAAAATTAACACTTTAAACACAATTTTAATTTTTCAAGAATTATTTGAAATGTTAATATCAATCTAATAAATGTTATAAAAGTGGTAATATTAGTAATATATACTAAAAATTAATAAAATTTAAGAGGTTTGATCTTTAATATATTCTATTACTATATTATTAAAGAAATATTAACATTTTAAGTAGATCGTTGATTACTTATTGAATAGGTTATTTAAATTGTTAGCTTAGAATCGTTTGAATTGTATAATCGTTTGAGATTCTGAGATAAAATTTTATTACATCCTAGTCAGTAGGTTAACATCCAACCCAGACACACATCAATTTTTAAACGGAAAAAGACGAGTTTGAAACATATGAATAGTCGGAAACCATTTGTTAACTTTTAAAAGTTAATGACTCAACAAAACAACGTCTAGTAGGCAAGGGACTATTTGTGTACTTTACCCTAAACTATTTTAATAAATTGTTGGTTACTTGCTGAATAGGTTATACATTTGTACCTATTTTTTAAAACTTTTTTAACTCCCTCTATCTAAAAGATCTAAAGAGTTATTTAATATAAAATAAATATTAAATATAATTTAGTAACTGATAAAAACTAAATAACTCTTAGCTCATTGATATTGTACTTAATACAAAACTAAATACTAAGTTAACGCAGTAAAAAATAATTCAATTTTTATTAATTAAAATATATATAATTTAATTTACTATTACTTCAATTAATATTTTTATAGAATTATCATTCGTCTTACACTTACATATTTACTGAATTAATCTGATTCTTACATACTTATTTAATTGATTTTATTCTTATGAATTGAACTGATCACTTAAATCAATTCAATCCATTAGTCAAGCTCAATTCTTATTCCAAGAGTAAGTTTGCATTAAAATCTGCAGTAAACTTGCACAATTCACAAGCATAGCTACGAATACATTAACTGATTTGCAGAATATATCATATCCAGCAAATGATATATTAAATATACAGACTAAAAAGATGGATTGTAAACTTTTACATTCTCAAACTTCTTGATCTGTAAACTCTTTGCTCTCCCACTGTAAACTAAAAAGAAAAAAAAAGTGTGAATTCGAAACGATTGAAGATCAAATTACCTTAATTTCATGGAAATGCATATCCGAATTGCAAGAGCTGAAATGTTGGGGAATCGAGATGGAAGAAATGGAACCCGTGAGTCGACATGATCTCCATCGAGTTCAGAGAAGGATGGGGACGGAACGAAGCAGGAGAAGTGAGAACGGATGAGAAAGAAGAGGAAGGTAGTGATGTGTACCATTTTTCCCAATTCTGCTATTAGTAAATTTGTTTCAGTAAACTATTTGCATTTCTAGATTGCGTTTCTTGTAAGGGACAGGAAGGGGTAGTTTTGTAAAATATTACAGTTGTTCTCATTTGTGGTGGAAAGTCCGGATTTACTTTATGAACTTTATATTCATATCATCCGTTTCAAATTTTCACGCAAAGTGCATGTAATCCTTGCTTTAAAAACATTTTATATTATGTATTTATATTCACATGTTTCTCTTAAGCAATTCTAATTTGAATAATATTATTTGTAAAATATGTCTAAATTTATCTATGTTAAAATAGAATATAAATATTATCATAAGATTATATTAAAATATTAAAAACAAAATAAAACATGGGTCGATATGAATATGATAATTATTGTATTTTGATTGATTTAGGATGGATTGGAAAAAGAGAGCTTTTTTCTTGAGATTTCTAGAAATTTAATATTGATTATGATATCAAACTTATGATCATGACTATTTTTTGTAGATCAACAAAATGAATAAATATAATTATCGATCAATATATTTAAATATTATCAAAACTCGTAAATTTATCAATTATTTTGTCAAAAGATGATAACAAATAACAAGATTCAAATAATTCCAACATTATAATATTTCGTTTTAGGGGTATAACGTACTTATATTATCATCTCTAATTAAAATTATTTATTTTTAAACATCATTTAATTTATGTTTTTATTTGGGAGATGTAGCAATTAATTTGGAGAAAAAAAAAGCATGGAAATGATTGAATGGGTTTGCTTGTTGAAACAGGGGAAATGATGGGTGGGGGCTCCTCCTGCGCTGCCCATATCATTATGTGGAAGCGACAAATTTAATGTTGGGATAAGTTAGGAAATAATAACGGAATGGGATGTCTCTACTTTTATACGCTATCCTTGTCAACTTCTGTTTGTGACTTAATATATTTATTTATTTATTTATTTTATTGAATAAATGTATTGTCACTATTATTTTCAGTTATATGTCAGTGTTATAAATAAATTCAAATATAATAAAGTTCATATAATAACATTATTATTATTAAAAGATCCATAGTTAAGTATTATTATGTGCATGAACAATAATAATACACTTAAGACTAACATGTTATTGATTTATGACAACGAGTTGTCATTAACATAGAGATGTCAGAATCGATACATGATTATATTGTTAGAGAACAATGTATTGAATTGACCCACCATGAGCATATGTCTTGGATTATTATGTAACAGTCATAACATTGTTCATGGTGATGACTATATGTATGATCCTACGACTTGAGATTAATGTTATCCCAACATTTATTGTTGTATGTTTTGATATAGTTAAACATGCTCTATAACTGGTTACACTATAAAGTCTGTTATTGAATATATCTCGATATATGTAGTGGGGTGTGTATGATTAAGATATGATTTGTCCTTCATACATAATAGGAAATATATAGCAGACCACTTGATTGAGTGAGACTAGAAATGCATGGTCATGCTCGAATAAAGTTGATATGAGATATCACAAATTATTCGTTAATTATAGTCTACTCTAGATATCAAGAAACAATAGATGGGTTATACAAGTGTGACTATTCCAAGACTTGTGCCTATTCTAAATATAAAGGACAAAAGGATGTAATACATAAAAGAGTTAATCACGAAGATGATATGTCGAATCATAATTTTTTGTAACTTAAGTGACAATGATATATTGCTAGATGTCACTCATTGTATGTAATATTAGAATTGTTCTAATAATTACTACTAACGTTACAATAACATACAGAGTCACACCCTAGGATTGAAATGAGCTGAGATGTACAATTTGGTGTATGTTACTCAAATATATATAAAGTTAATAAATGTATATTTGATATACATATGATTTTAATTATCCCGAATATAGTAAGTAAACATTAAAAGAATGTAATTTTGATTAGAATAATTAAAAAAGAGTTTAAATAAACGTTAAAGATTATAATTCAAATTATAAGTCTTTAATGGATATTTAATTTGAATTAATTAAATAAGATTTTTAATTAATTCGAAATAACTTAAAAAATCCCTAATATATTAGGGTAACTGATATATTTAAAAAGTAAGGTAAGGTCTAGCAGCCACTTCTTCCTCAGCCGTTTTTCCTCAAAACTGTTTTTGAGAAAAGTAATTTTTCTCTCAATCGGATGAACTAAGTAGAGGTCGAAACGTGATTTCGTGAAGGCTTACGATCCGAACCGCTCGTGACCACCATTAGTCGTTGTTGTCTTTGATGTTTTTCAAGATCCATTGTAAGTATTCACATCCTTTCCTCCCAATTTTGAATTTTCGTACTTGGATCGCTGATGAGACCGTCGAATTTTGTTTCCGCTACGTCATGATGTGCGCCGACGGTCCAACAAAGATGATTTTTTTTACTTCAATAATTGTACCATTTTGATTGCATTGGATGGGCTAACCTTAGCTAATAAAGGTGTATTGGGTGTTTAGGGGGAAGCTATTATGTTCACCATATTATTGTTGTTTGTAATAAACTGAGACCGTTCAAAATGCTAGGCCCAACGATGTCCAAAGGCATACATTGGCCCAAGTTAACCGTCTTAATTTCTCTATCCTTGTTTCTTTTAGACATAACTATTTTGTTTGTCGTTGAAACAACACAAATTGGCTCATCTTGCATTGTCTAAAAATCCCACGTCACTTATGACTAGATTATGGCCAATTTGAAAACAACAAAAAGGACTTGTAAACGAAAATTGCTAAAATAAAGGTAACAATGTCCAATACTTTGATTGAAAGCATAAATCAGTAGAATCTAAGAGGTAAATCCCAAGGAAAGTGCTTGAAATGACAAAAAGTGGATAATTCTCAAACACTCGTTTGTTTTCATTTCCATGGCACTTTCACTCACTATTTTTCACTTCCTAAACAACTTGGGTTTGGCTCCTGAATGAACCAAGAGCCTTAGCAGCTCCTGCTCTCAAGATGAATTGGTGGTAAAATGCTGCAATGGCTGCTCCCAGCATGGGACCAACCCAAAATATCCACTGCAAGTAAAAGGGGGGAAATTAGTATTATGAGAAGTTTATATCAAATAAAGTGAAGGTAAAAGCTTTGAGAATGGTGTACTCACATGGTGATCCCAAGCCTTGTTGTAAATAACAGCAGCTCCGATGCTCCTAGCAGGGTTGATGCCGGTGCCGGTGATTGGGATGGTGGCCAAGTGAACTATAAATACAGCAAACCCAATTGGAAGTGGAGCCAATACCTTCAAAAACAATTACCCAATTTCTTACTTTGTAATCATGCAAAATATAAACAGAGAAAAACTATTCTTTTAATAATATCGAATCATATGTTCAGATTTTTTGTATTAATTGCGCAAACACCAAGCAAACATAACTATTTAAAATTAAGTTTTCTAAAGATAACGACATTTATATTTATTAGTGAGTCCACTAAATAAGTTAGGAAAAAAGTACTTAAAGTATACTTACTGGGACATGGGAGTCTCTAGCACTCCTCTTAGGATCAGTAGCAGAGAAAACAGTGTAAACCAAAACAAAGGTTCCGATAATTTCTGCACCCAAACCAGTTCCAGTGCTGTACCCTTCTGCAAGACCATTGGCTCCACCTCCATTCCCGTTGTAGTATGATTTCTGGAATGCCTTAACCAGCCCTACCCCACATATGGCTCCCAAACACTGAGCCACCGTGTACGCAATGGCTCGGATCAACGACACCTTCCGAGCCAACAGCAGACCAAACGTCACTGCTGGGTTAATATGACCCCCTGGTACCACAAAATACTAAAACCAGTAAATCAACCCCATAAATCGCTGCAGACTTAACGAGTGATCATAATTTAAGTTTGAAGATGAGCATACCGGAAATACCAGCAGTGCAGTAAACGAGGACGAAGATCATGCCACCGAAGGCCCAGGCGATGCCGAGAATACCGACACCGGCACACGGATCGGTGGAGGATTCAGCCTGGCGTTTGTATCCGATTACGGTGGAGACGGTGATGTAAAGGAAGAGCAGAGTTGCAATGAACTCGGCTATCAAAGCCCTGTAGAATGACCATTTCGTAAGCTCTGCCGCATCGATCAGTGGCGCCGCCGGGGGATCCACGTAGTCCTTTCCGTTAAATGAACCGTGCTCTCCTTCCTTCACCATGGATTATTAATGAATTAGCTTCGACAACAATAGAAGTAATGGATTTGCAGATGCTGGGAAAGGAGAGAGGCACTGCTTTGAAACGTGTACCTCGGACTTAGCTGATATCAATATATATAAGAAATTTAGAATTATAGATAAAGTATACAACTAGTTTATCGCGACTATAAGATTTTGATTTGTTGAGTCGTATAATTATTAAAAATTATAAGATAGTTTGAGTGATGTTTTGTTGAGTGTCTCAACTATTAAAAGTTATAAAATGATCACCTAACTATTCATATATTTTAAACTCATCCTTTACCGTTAAAAATTTATCGATCGTCTGAGTTGGATGTTAATATGTTAGTTGTGATATAATACAATCATATTTTAATAATGTTTACTAGTATTGGTGTTGCTTTCAAACACTAGCACAATGTTAGTAAACATTATTGAAATTAAAAAGTATAAACTACATAAATGGTTACTAATATTTAAATATGTTTTTATTTTTCCCATTGAAATTTCAAAATTAACAAATTGGTCACCAAAATATCAGGTCATTGAAAAATGATTTTATATATAATTTATTCCAAAAACTTTCTAGTTTTTTGTTTATCATTCAAAATATTTGATTGGTTCGTGTCCAAAAAAGTTAATTTCTAAGTTTTATTTTTAAAATTTAAAAAGTGTGTGTATATATATATTGGAAAAAATTGAAAATATTAGAAAGCTATTGAGATAAAATAGATATAAAATCATTGTTCAATGACTTATTTGATGTTTTAGTGACCAATTTTATATTTTTTAAAACTTTATTAGGAAAATTGAAAACTTAAATATTAATCACCATTTGTGTAATTTATCTTTTTAAATTTTATAAATTTCCGTTAAAGGTGTAATGAGAATTAATCTTGATCACGTTTTAATTAAATAAAAATAAAAACGATCAAATATTATATTTTTTGAATTTAATGAAAAAAATTATAAAACTTAAACAAAAATGATAAAAAATGTAGTTTATGTAATATTTTTTTATGCAAAACTTTAAAAGATAAAAAGAAAGAAAGCGAACACGTGGTAAATCACGTGGAAAACACAAGGGGCGAAAGACAAACTCAATCCGACCAGGTCGAGGTTTTGTATTGAAAAGCAGCGTAAGGCCGAAATGGCTAAGGACAAGTGGAGGAGTGGTGCGTGTAGTATAGTACATAGGACCAGACCCACAAACTGCCGTACCTATACACCCACTCATTTCTTCCCCACCTATCGCTATAATTATGATTATTTACAATATCACTATAGAAATTTTAATGTACTGATAATTTTTGCTAATTTAATTTCTAAATTAATACCACGATTATGTATTTTTCTTTACCTTTTTTGTGAATTGCATTGTTTTTTTCCTTCCAAATTATGTTTTAATTATATAAAAGTCTTTACTATTACTTAATCACATGATCAATGATCCAATTATTAATATTTTTTGTTTTTATTATTAAATTACATTTTAAAACTTTTGTAATTAACATTTTTCATTGATTTTATCCTGTCACTCTTTATTAGATCATTATATTATTAATTAGTATAATAATATATTTACATTTTAATGCTTACACATTTATATCAATTTATTAATGAGTAACAAAATTTCGTCAATATTTTTGCCATATCAATGCGAATTCAACTAAGGTGGAGAAGGTGGATGTTACTGTTGGGTATGATTAGAAGAGACTAGATTAGTATAATATTGAAATGTTAGGGATTATTTTTTTATAAGTAGGATCAAATTAAAATGAAATATAAGGTTCAAATTTACTATTACATCAATTTTATTAATTGTTAAACCTACGTTAATTTTTAAACGAAAAATAATTAATTTATAGTATTTTTTTAGATATTCTTTTATAACTTTTTTCATAGTATGGAGACTTAACCAAAAAATGCTTTATTTGTGAATTTGACCCATATAAATATAATTTATAAACTTGTAAAGTTTCAAATTTAATAGGTTTATATGAAATAAATATATCGTAATTTTGTTATTTATTTATTTCTTGCATTCTTCTGCTAACATGTTTTGTTTTGTTTCAATTATTTTCCAAATTACAGGATAATATTTCTTTAATAAATATATAAATGTAATAACAAATGTAATCATAATCAATATAATTAAATAAAAATAATAAAAATAAATTATTACAATATAAATTAAATGAATAGTTAAAATATATCTAGATTTAAATTATTATTACGCACCATTAAACTAATATACACACATATTTTTTTTAAATACTTGCCATCGATAAACAACACACTTCAAGTCTATGAATCTCCACTGAAAACTTCTTACTAATCCTCTTAGAAGATATCAGTAATCTGTCTTATACCCAAATAAAAGTTTAATCATCTGACCTCAGCCTCATTTTGTTAAAAGAATATTCATAAACATTTAAAGTTAAATCAATAAAAATAAGTACCAAACTATTGAAAACGGACTTATTCTGTTTTATATATATATATATATAAAAGACTTATACCGAAACAAGTGGAGAAGCCTGAAAATGTTATATATGGTGTTAATAAATATGAGAGTGACGGGAGTGGACCGACCATGAATCCAAATTGGAGTTACCAAACCAATAGAAACGTGCCATTATTATCTACACGTTAGATTGGGGGAGATAACTATACGTCTATACCACCACCATGTTGCCATGTTGGGCTTTCAGAGTTGAAAATTTCTTTGGTACTGCAAGACTTGTACGTTAATAATCCCACCACTATCTCTCTACCCCCCCCCCCCAACGTGTCCTTTTCTATTCTATGCCTTCACCCGAGGGCCGGTGGCCGTAGTCTTTTGACTTTCCACTAATTCATCTTCAATTGTTTGAGTTTTTTGTTTTTAAATAAAACAAAAAATAGAAATCATATTTAATTACACATTATAATTACAACTTTAATTAATTTTTATACAATATTTTAACTATCATAAACTCTTTTTTTCTCTCCCATAAACTAAAGATTATGTTACAAAAAATAATAATATCAATCGAACTAAGACGAATTAAGATTCAATTGACACCAATATAATTGAATTTAAATTTGATTTTTATTTATAACTTTATTATATTTATATAGATATAAGCATCTACTTATATAATATAAAACAATAACAATTTTACGTACTCTACCAACTATGTAAAGGATTAATAATTTAACTATCATATTTCATTTTTGATTCGTATAAATCATGCAAGTTAAATTTTAAGTAAATTAATTAAAAATACATTACTTGTTAGATGTATAAAAGTTTTAATATCAAATATATATAAATAGAAGACAATATTCTAGTTTGATGTGATTGAAATCTCAAATCAAATCGAAATTTACATATAAAATAATCTAACTATTAAATCTATTAAAACAATTATATACAAAATTATGCAAAATAATAAAGCTAGCATAAATCTAGATAAGAGTAAGTGGAATCCTTCTCATAATAGATATATATTGTGTTTAGTGAAGTTGCAAGAAAAAAGGGATCCGAATTCTTCAAAACAAAATCTTTTTCTTCTTCAATTTAGAAAACGAGCTTTCATTGTGGTCCATATTCCAATTCCAAACAGCAATCAATGCTGCACTGCATGCCTAGCCTAATCATGGCGAAAACAAGAAAGAAAACGAAGACACAAGCAAAACCATCATACTAAAGAAAGAAAGAAACAACACCCATCTTTCTTTTCACTTACCCTTTTTAACTTTACTTACTGTTGATGTAGTAATAATGTCCGATCTTAACCTGTCGATTCATCACCTCTAACCATACATCTCTACTTCACAACCCTTTATCCGTACAATTCATGCCAACCTCCCCTGAGCATACGACCGAATATACGTTCGGAGAAACTCAAACCTGATTTGATTTACACACCACACACAAAAAAGGGGTTGACAGACAAGAAAAAGCAATATGAAATAAATACAAAAAAAATCAGGAAACACACTGATTAGAACCAAAAGAAATACAACAGTATATTACAAGAATGAACAAAGCAGCATTTAGTAATACTATCCTAGGAGAATATAGCACGTCCAACCATATTCCTATCGATTGAGTGGGTTGGGTTGGGTTGGTTTTAGTTCGGATCAATCCAAATCAAGTCAAATTGGGTTTTTAAAATTTTCAGGTCATCCAAGTTTGCTAGTCGGGTTTTTGGATGAGTCATTTCGAGTTCCTTGATCAAATCATTTGCCCCTCGGGTAGATTTTGGGTTGTTGACTTTTTACAAATCAGATTTGGTTCGAATTCGGATTCGGGTCAGAATTGACAGGTCTAGTTCATTGGCTTGACTAACAGAACCAAAAGCAATAACACCTTACGTTGCCGCGGGCTTTTTCATACACAGTTTACATGTTTTAACATACCTGAACAGTCTGATGCATACGATCGGGGCAACGACGCTGTATGCTTTCCAGGTGAAATTCTAACAACTAATCCAACCATTCAAGTACTGGCTATGTGAACAAAAATGAAGAACTTGTCTGATTTTCAGGCAGAGAAGCCAGCTTCCAATGCTCTTAATATAGCAGCACTATCAAATCTGAAGTTTCTAAAACTCTTCCCGGGACCAGTGTCAATCGGGTTAGCATCAGATGTAAACCTAGTAGATTGGCTCTCCACAATCATCGAGTTACCCCCGGTAGAACAATTTTTTGCTTTCCACACACAGATCCCTTGACAAGAGAAAAAACAGAACTCATCAGAAAACACAGGCCGGAACAGGGCCATGAGTTCCCATTAATGATATTTCCAGGACACAAAACTAAAGTAATTGAGCTATTAATGATAGAGTGAAGCACTTGAAAGCAAACCAAACTTAAATGTGCAAGGCACTTCTATTTATTAATTTTCTAATTAACTTTTCATTGCCCTAGATACTTGCTTAACTTCTATGAAGTTATGTTCGAATTCAAAACTTGCACATTTTAGAGCCATATTAAACGATTCACTTTTACACTAATGTCAATGTTCTTTCCAAATCAAACACTGGTCACAACAGAAGAAAGATAAGAGTGAACAAAAACCCAATCTAACAACATGATACCAATGCTTGGTCAGGGCAGCTATGAACATATTATAAATTGTCTCATATCCATACTGCCTCTAGTAACAAAAGCACAATAAGAGATCTACAGAATAATGTTTGATCGTGTAGTTTTACTTTCTTCAAGTTTACTTTATAATGACATTATTGAATACTGAATTTCTCTGATGATGAATTCAACTGTTTCTTACTCGTTTGAATTATAATACATGCATTAAGGTATACATGACATTCTCCAGAGAGAGAGACACATAGCAGTGGCCAGTTCTCAGTTTAACCAGCTGAATTAGTGGTTTGCTGATGTTGGTAAGGTATATATAAGATACATAGTATTTTGACAAGAATGGTTCAAACATCACATGTATTGGAGATTCTGAAAAAGGAAAAGCATTTTAAGGTCAGTTTTAATAAACCAGAACTGCTTCAACCAGGTTTGACTGAGCTTTGATGTGCATTACATCGTGTTCAACTAGTTTTAGAACTTCTCCACTTAACGTCTCTGACCAGAATATTGATAATTTTTTTTGTTCAAACAAAAAGGAGGGGAGGGGTAACCTTTTCGCGGCAAATCTGATCTTGGAGGTGTTGGAGGTGAATGCTTTGAAATCCATGATTTTAAAGATCTGCACAAAGTCTTCATACAAGAGCATTTAGCCAACAATATTAAGGCATTTATAACGTAATAACAAAATACTCGCGCTAAATAAGGAGCCACCAATACCATATAAACCTTTAGACCAGTGATCCCATGAGAAATTACTTCACTAGTTGCAGGCTGAAGGTCATCAAGTCGGTGCCATGCAATTTCCTGCAGCCAGGCAATAAAAGGCAAGCTGTCAACATAATTGTTTTCTAAGAAATACTAAGCCTTACACATTCTCACCATCTCTGGGTGAGACAGATGAACTAGAGAAGAAGGCCATACGAGGCAAGAGAAAAAATGCATATAAAGTACACACTTGAAAAACCCATTAAGCCGCAGGTCATTTTACCATATACTAGCTACTTTATCTGCATCCAAGTTTCTGATCAAGAATGCTATTACTATAATTGTTTAAAACTTTATCAAATGTCATTATGGAACAATGCATTAAATAAATCGATAAAGCAATTCCACCATGTGTTTCTAGGCAGCAATATTCGTTTTTAAAGCAGATTGTGAAATCTATTAAGGAAAATAAATTCAAAACAAGAATTACAAGTGAAGCATGAAATTATTGACAACTTTGGATGAAAGTGGCAGTTTCATGAAGATCTCTTTTTATTTTCTTCATTTCCTTTGGCAGATGTCTGATGTTTATTACAGAGTGAATTTGCAATAAGATAGTTTTATCCATGGTTGACATGTAGTAAGCACTAAAATAGCCAAAATGTGAAGTTGCATGAAGATTGAGCATTATTGAATGCCAGTTGATATATGCTCCAAAGTTGAAAGGATAACTTCAATTACATATAAAGGTGCTTAAACTTGGATTCCTATCAGCCAAAATATTTATGAACAAGTAAATAGCTCTTATCTTCCAAAAAATACATACACTGATCTTCCTTTTTGTAAGTGGGGCAAAGGCAGTATCATCCTTTACACCAGAAATAAAATAGAGCCGCACTCTGCTGCTGTCCAAATATTAATTCAATGTATGCATCTTTGTTTAGGAGCCCTGAAACATCAAAACCTGTTTCTTCTAGGACCTGTATTTTCATGGAAAGCACATCACGAATCATAGGTAAGGAAAGGAAAGAGCAAGAAGAGGGAGATAAGGAACTCAAAGAGAAATCGGTAATGATTTGGATTCCCTTAGCCATCTTTTTAGGTACCATCAACTCTATTGTTCCTCCAAATGATAAGAGAAATATGCAGTGATGAAATTACAGGTAGCAATTTACATATGCAATGGCTCCATGTCCACTGATGAAGTTTAATGAAAGGTATACTAAGGGATTAGCATGCTACCCTAGCTGTTGCTTTTGAGAGTTTAGTGAACAGGTACGGAATATATACTAATGTAGAATTTACATTTCTTCCTCGTCCATGGTAGTCACAAGTAGAAAAAAAGATCATTCTGATTATACTTTGACTCTATAGCCATTTGTATTCGCTAGTAGAGTCTTACTACCATCTCAAGAACAAAAGTACTGAATGGATTCATCTTGTTTGCAAAAGGTTAAACCACTTGCAGAAAGGAATATATTTCCAATCTGATTAAATAGGGATCAGTTTCCAGTTGTTCAAGTTGAGCTAATTACCATTAAATCATTGTACATATTCTCATTTAAGAAAGCTTACTTCTTGAATGGCACATGCACGGTCTTCCTCGTCTTTGTTCTTTTTCCCACGTGGGAAGCTCCTTCTCGTTCCTTTCCACCCCTTCACTAGGATGCACTATTAATTGCAAACACAAAGCAAAGACACTGAATTCACTTACACATATATGATAATCCTGAAATACAAGAAATAGCTTTGATTGAATCTTCCATAAGTGCGTGTAGATGCAACAACACAAAATGAAAAAATCTGTGATAAATGTATCAAGAGATTGGGAATATGGAGGAAGAGCGTGAAGACATGGGATAAAAATGTAGGTGCAAAATTTACATTCTCAAGCATGAATCCATGAATGTATAAAGTGCGTTAACAGTGCACAAAAGTACCGTGAAGCTGCCTTGTCAATTTGGTAAAAACAGTGACATGACATTGTCTCAAAAACGAAGAGGACAAAAAGACTTCTTGTTTTAACTAGCATAAGAAAGAGACACCCGTTCATATGTTTCGTCCAAAATAATTGCACCCGTTACCGGAACTCGAACCTTGTAATCAGTGAAATCCTTGAATATATCATCTATATTTGCAACATAAGGCCTTAATACGTCACAGCTGTTAAACACTGGAACACGTTAAGGAAATAGAGAAACAAGAAAATGTATCATTCTCATAGCATTAAATAATGGAGAGTTCAGAAAATGCCATATAGATGTCCTCTAGAAGTAAACAAAAAATGTCAAGTCAAAAAGTAGCTTAAATTATGTTGATCTTGATAGTATAGACTAGAAAGTCTAATCTTCAGTTTGGGAGTAAAAACAAGATGGAACCAGGGGACAGCTTCTTCAGGGACAGAAGATGTCACAGCCTCACATCCTCAAGGTCCAACTTCCTCTTTGAAAAAAAGGTTTTCCCCTTTTTCGAAGTGGTACAGGTTCTATGAAATAAAAGCCTAAAGTATTATTTATTTACAACAATAAAGTAAAATATAGCATCCGAGCAAAAAAGCTGCAAGGTCTCACATAAGGAAACAACACATGCACATTCTAGAAAATCAAGCAGGGTAAAATTTAAGTAATCATGATCGATAGAAATAAATGGCAGCAAGAACTGGGATTTTAGCAAAAATCATATAACCAGGACAAAGTGAAATAACTGACAGGCAAAAATAGGACAAAATCCCGGTTCTTGATCTTTAAGCCCAATGCATAAGTCCCTCTGCTCACTTGCTACTGATATGTTTAATCATTAATCACATTAGAAATATGCCCACAAAAAAATGTAATTGCAAAACTGGTTTCAATTTGACAAGTAACTAGAGCCTGGATTTTACATAAACCAAGCTGTGATAAAAGATAATGCCAAACTTTTATTATTATTATTATTATTTGGGTGGGGGGAATACTTTCAAGTAAAAAGCTATGATGATAGTGGATTAAAAGTTGCTTGAACAATTACAAACGGAAAATTTCATCATGGAGTCGAAATTAAGTTTGAATATTTGATAAATCAGCCAGCAGTCTGGTGATAGCAATATATCGCTGCAATAAAGATGCATCAAGTATAGGATACATAAAGAGGTGAACTCTTTCAGATTGAATGACTTCAGCGATGAATTTTTTTCTACTGTATTGTCCTCATAAAACCAATGTGCATACTCCACAAGGAAGAGAATTCTCTCAAATGACTGTTGGTCCTCTCTCGGCACATTTAAAACAAACCGACTGCACAACAATTATTAGAAGTAAGCTTTATATAGGACTAAAGGGGGGGAAAGAGCAGATACAAGGCAACTGTTTTCAAAAGAGAGGGAGAATGCTTAAGGTCACCACAGGGTAATTATTTTAAGGCATGACAAGTTGGCAACACATTTGAGGGAAAAAATTAAAGAAAAAGTACCGTACAAAGACCATCAGCCAATAATTGGACCATATCAGAGAAACTTTAGAATTTAATTTCCTAGCAACGCAACCAATTTCCTCATCGCATTTTGCTGGTTTGACGAGAAAAGCCAACATGAGCAGCTGACACAACTAGTCAAGAAAAATCATTAGGGAAAAATTTTCAATTATGAGATACTTGTGGCTGATACTTCATAAACATGATCTGAAGTCTAAGATTCTTGAGCTTAAACGATCTACTTTCTTGATTAATCAATCCATGATATAGATACAGTATCTACAACAATACAACAAAGGGTCAAACTTCCGTACTCTATACTTGACTAGTAGGTGACATAGCATTTAGACTACCCAGTCACCACTAACTTTTAATCTACATAATAATCCCATGCACCACACCGTTAATCTCACCAACCACTCCCAATCTTTAAAAAAATAAAAACATGTCAATATCGATGATGGATCTAGCGACAATTAAAGCAGTTTTTAAAAAAATCATAAATCATCACAACTGCAAGATAGGTGGCCACCACCAGGCAACACGTCATCATCTAAACATTACTAGGGTCTAAACGCTACACTTATTCAACTGATATCTTCGTCGCCATTGCCCTATCTTTCAATCCCATGGTTGGTTGTGGGGTTATTTGCTGCGCCTGCTTTTCTTGGGGCTTTAACTGGTCAGCATTTGGGCCATCTTGTTTTTCAAAGATATTTATCAAATGTTTACGCCAAGAGAAAACAGCTGTCAGCTGCTATCCAAGTTGATCTGATCAAGTTAGAGGCTGAAAGATGGCTCTCTAAAGCTGGTTCCCTGCAGTGGCTAGTTCTCTTGATTATAGGAACTTACTATGAAGTTGGATCATCTTACATTGCTCTTGTTTGGCTTGTTCCACCAGCATTTTCATGTAAGCTGACATTTACTAGTTTGCCTTTTGTGCATTACTTTCTGTTACTTGGATGAATATGAGGTCTGCTTATGTTTAAGAACAATGTACATGTTCTGATTGCTGAGTTGTGCTCTTGTGGAGTGGAAGCATGGCTGGCATACTTAATGTTGATAACCCATGTGAAATTATTTTCTTGCTTTTTTTATTCCTAGTCAATATTTGGAATTCGGAATTTCTATACGGATGGTATTTGCTTTAGACTAATTTTCTTTACCATATTCCTCAAATGGCTTGTTGGAAGCAACATTAACCCCGGGACGGTCACCAAAGCCCCTCAAACTTGCAACCCTGTGGATAGGGTTGGCCATTCCGATTTTAGTTACAGCTGGTCCATTCATTAGATTAGTTATCACAATGATTGGACTTAGCGTACGATTTGTCAGGTAAAAGTTATAAGACGATTTTCATTTTGAATGTTTGTGCTTAAGACACTATGTCGGTTGACAATATTTAGACATCCAGGCGGTTCTCCTGAGTGGCTACCAAGTGTGGCACTTTCTGTTTTTATCGCAGTTGTTATATGCCTAACTCTGGTGTATCTCCTTTCGTATATTCATCTCTCAGGTATTCATTTATAAAAAAATCAGGTGTTTAATTGTTACATAATGCTTTCTATGGTTTCCATTGGCATTGACATGTTTGTTAGTGATGATGAGATGCCAACATTGGGTTTTTATTGTTTAACGATTATCAAAAAAATAAAATTGCAAATATATTAGCCATTATGTACGGTCATCACCCATATTTCAGGTTAAAATATAAATCTTTTAAGCATAAAGAGGGTTTTTAACCATCACTTCTCCCAGATTCAATTACTTATTTTTCTTCTTGTCATATGTTTTAACCATCACTTCAAAAAGTATCTCCCATGCTGTCACTTCATTTACATACAATAAATATTTATCAAAAAATTACTATTGAATTGCTTGTTTATTATCTTCTTGTTGTGTAGGTGCAAAAACATCTATGGCCCTTGCAATTACTATTCTGTTTCCTCTATCATTTGCTGTGGTATTTTCTGGTATAACTCCGCCATTCACTGAGGAAACTGCCAGAGTTGTGAATGTAAGTTCCAAATTTATATTTCCTGCATCTAATTAAATATATGTTTTAATGTCGTCTCGAGGCAATATCCGAAGCTTTTTATGGTTCCTAGGTGGTCCATGTTGTGGATACAACAGGAAGATTTGGAGAAAAGACCAGCTCTTACGTATCTCTGTTTTCCTTCGCTCCTGGAGTGTTTACTGAGGAAGTTGAGGAAATTAAAGAGGGGTTCGTATGTAGCAGACACAAGGCCATTGATTATGTTACTTTTTCGGTCACATATGGCTGTTTGACCTTTGATGAAACCGAAGAGGGATGGGATGAGTCTGATATTCCCACACTGAAAGTTGTTGAAGATGAAAATGGAGAGAAGAGAATCACACGAGTGGCGATCGATACAGAGAGGTCTATACACTGGTTTCTTTCAATCAACACCAAGGAAATAAAAGATTTCACGTTTAAAGGTATAATGAAAGTTTGTTTATGTCTGTCATTCATATTTTGTTTGTTCCTTTCTTTTTCCCTTCTAGTTGCTCCATTTGATTCGTTTATCCCTTGGTATAATGAAGAGAGTGGGTTCAGAGGAGTTAATCCCAGTGGATGTTAAGCGTGGCGTAGATGGATGGCATACCATTCAAGCATCAGGAGGGAAGAATGCATCAACAAAGTTCGAACTCACTCTCTTCTGGATGCAAAATTGACACTGGATTCACACGACATGGAGCAGTCAGAACAACGACCACTCATGAATCTCAGAACCGATCTTTCCGGAGTGATGACACCAAAGGCTGAAGCAGTCCTTCAGAAGCTTCCACCGTGGTTTTCATTGTTTGGGAAGTCCACGTCTCCTCACACTCTCGTTTTTGAGTAGTCTTCCTGTTGATTTTTAGAATACCTGAATAAGATGTCGGACCCCTTTGCATTTTTGGTACTGCAAAAACTTGTACACGAGTAGGCAAACCTAGCATCATTTTCTATGTGTATAATATATAGATTCTCAGCTCCCTTCTGATAGAAGTAATAGGGTTTAAATAATTACTTGATACAATTATCATTTTGTCACTCATAAATTCTTATATTGATTAGAAGTTTTCTTTAATTCATAATTTCATTATTTTCTTTGATCTTTGCTTGAAAGCAATTATATACTTAATAAATCAAATTCTGCTGTATATGTATATCAGTCTGGTGTTAAAATAAGGCTATTTTATTAAAATAACTGATGCAGGTAATTATTATTAGGTAAAAAGCTCACCACAATCATTTTCCAGCAAAACAGATACCGAGATACATAACCCCAGATTTTCCCAGAGAGAAAAACAGGCCATTTCTCTTTATGTACACCCCCCAACAACACAAACCAAAATACAAAATAGCGTAGACTCTACCTATTCTCCTTTTCTATTCCCAAAATATATTTCTGTTGCCTTCTTCCCATGTTTTTTTATTCATTTACACATGTAAGATTTCTTTCTCCTTATACAAAATCACCTCCACAAACAAAATTTTGCAAAATATAGGGAAAAAAGCTTCGGGAAACTATTATCTCGGATTTGGTTGCAATCCAAGTGACCATAACGGTTGGACAAGCCTTTGAGTAGATGGACTACCTAGTAACATTGTCTGAGATCGAGTGAGCATATCAACCATTGATGGAGTTTGATAAGCTTGAATCAGACTAGAACCGTCAGTGGAGTCGCCTCTTGTGGTTGCTCTTTGCCACGAGTGTGAGCTCAGTCCCGAGAGGATGTATGCTCTCCCGGATGCCTCATACACATGCCTGCTTGCCATCCTTTCTTGCATCTCCTTGAGTTCGGCATCCAATGCAACAAAGTCGATCATGAGCTTTGGTCGAAATGGTCTCGGACAACACCCTTCTACAGTTTTCAAGTATCGAAACAGCACTTGCTAGATCTCCCCGTTCAGCTGTCGTTCTTGCCTCCGCCATTGCCTCGGCTGCTCGGAACCTGTTGCGTTGCCTGTCTACTTCGATCGAAACTACTTCCTGCCCGACTACTTCAGGTCTTTGAATCCTAACAACATCACTCTCCAAAGAGGTCATTTCTTTAGTTAACGGATCCCTATAAACACAATTCACCTTCAGCAACGATGTTTCACATTCAGATGACTCGGCTGGTACTTTGACCAACACCAAAAAATCCCTCTCTTCGTCAGCATAGAGATCTCCAACCTCAATAAATCCAGTTCTCCCATCAGCTGTCACACGGCTCGGGTAACTGCCTGCTTTAAGTGGACTTAGGCAGAGACTTGAGTTCATGCACTCCACGCCCACTTGCAGCTCTTGAACTACAACGCTTAAAAGACCACCAATGCATTGCGCAAATGCATCCTGGATTACAGCTTCGTTTTCGATAAAAGAAAACGTCCCTCCAGAGATCTCTGAAATCGAATGCATTGATGAAGCATCGTGATCGGCGCCAAACCCAAAAGCATGAACTGGAACATGGAATCCCGTGTTGTCACTCCCATGCATAGATAGAGGGAGAAGCAGCTGGTAATTCGGTTGAGACTTGTTTGCACCAGCACCAGTCACAGTATAAGTATCCTGCCCATCCGATAAAAGTATTATGCCGGCAACTGGATTCTTTTCCCTCCGGTCTTCCATTACCTTGGCACCTTTCCTCAGGCCTTCAGCTATGTTGGTACCGCCATTTGCGACCAGGGAGTTGACAGCATGGAGTGCCTGATGCCGTCCTGTGTCAGACATTAGACGAAGGGGGAAGAGGCGGCGAGATGTTGAAGAGAAGGCAATGACCGAAAGTCTGTCATTGGAGCCAAGGTTCTGAATTACAAACCCCATTGCCCGTTTTAGCAATGCAAGCTTGGTGCCAGCCATGCTACCACTGATATCAAGCACAGTGACTAGGTCAACAGGAGCACGAGGATTTTGATAAAGTTGTGGCCAACAGCTAGCATGATTTCTGTTAGGATTTTGATTTGCAGCTGAAGCAGCAGCTTTAAGATGAACAAGAACAGTGAAATCGTCATAAGAACTGGACCTTCGTGCCGCTGAAACCTCGGGGTATGTTTTGATCTCTATTGTTCTAAGAGATGAGTTATCCGAGGCATTCATACTCTCAGCAACCACAGGTAAGTGATCCAACATTTCATCATCATTGAAAATGCCTGGTTCAGGAGCCTGAAATAATGGTACAACATGTCGGCGACTTAAATCTCTATGAGGTGGAGGTAACCGGCGGACTACGGTCATCAAAGCATCATTTGTGGCCAACCAGCAGGATTGGTTGCCGCCCTTCCAGGGGGAGGATTTAAACTAGGGCTCTGCATGGGGATTTCTTTCCATTTTGCTCTACAAACCGGACAAATCTGGTTACCATGCTTCACGTTCGACGCAATGCAATGGAAGTGGAATGAATGAGAGCACTCTGCCGTGAAAATAGCATGGCCAGCTCCTTGTTTCATCTTGGTCAAACATATAGAACATGTTTGCTGAAACAAAATATAACAAACAAAATTACCATCCGAAGCAAAGCTCATGTGTCATTAAACACCCACGTGAGTTCAAGAGTAAAAAAAAAAGAACTCAATTGAATAAATCCCACAATGTATCAGTCAGAAAATATACATTAGTAAATATAGCAGAAACAACACTAGGACAGCAATGGAAGAAATTAGGTAAAATCCAAAAAGTTGAAGGATAAATCATTATTCATCACATCTTTTTAGCTATCCAAAAACTACGTTCCTCGAACTCAGTAGTGAGTGTCAGACAATACAAGCATCAATTTTTCCAAGATTTTCATGTATTTAGAGAACCCTTGATCATATTCTCATACCCATATCCCAAAAAGTGTAGGATACTATGCTTCAAGAATATGAAGAGTTGGAATAACATGGGCTAAAAGTAAAAAAACTGAAGAACTGTTGGGAATAATCAGGTTTAGGTGTGAATGAATTTTACTCTGGGGCATACATAAAAGTAGCACAAAACAAAAGGGGGCACAAATCAATTAGGGGGAGTAATTAATCAGCCAGCAAAGCTAAAAAGAAGTCAATGTTAGGTATCCAACAAATAAAGGTAATATAAGGGAAATAAAGCTAAGAATCAAAGAAATAACTTTTGAGAAATCATCAAGCAACTATTCACTAATACAGATGAATCCGGGAAAAAAATCGAAATCCGCTTTCAAGATGAAAAAGGAAACCAAATTATGCTTTTAGGCTTCTTTCCTTTTTAACCTTCTTAGATGACATTATTTGCCATAGAAAGGATGCCAATTTCAACAGGCGAAATATGAGGCCATCAAGCAAAGCTGATTTTTCCTTTGTCACAAGGAGGAAAGAGAAAGGTAAAAGTGACCCTGAAAGGGATTTTATGCATTAACCATGGAAAAATCCAAAGCTCAACTAGTTTGGTCAATAAACCAACTTGATCATCAATAAATGCTGAAATAAGACCGAAATAATTAGACTACACTGCAATCCTTAAATTATTGAATTAGACATTTTCCTACACACCCACAAGGAAAAAGTTGTGCTGGCCGGATAAACGAGAGAAGAGTTTAACAAAGTCGGTGCAATTGCATCAGCAGCATATGAAAACGAATATATGAACAATCATTCATACCAAAAACACAACAAATATCAGGAAGATAACATTGAGAAATTTCATAGACTTTCGCCCCTATCGCTTGCAAAGGGAAAATATATTAAGATAAGCTCAAAACATGATTGGTGCTGCAAAAGGAACAAATAGATTTTCATCCTGCAACAGATAAACAGAAAATTCTGAATCCGATACCGCGGTAGAGATTTTTATCATTCAACTAGAAATATCAGTATCACTAGCCTCAACAAGTAAAATATTACATTATTACTAATAACAATGACAAATTCATACCACTCATGGTATCCAAGTTAGCTGCTTTTTGCATTCTATTTCTCAAATAAATACAAAACCAATTACCAAAAACTACATAACCTTTTCTTTCCAACCCAAGTTATTTTCTAAGGAACCAAACAGAAACTACAACTGTTACTCCTCAAATTTATAAATCATTATAATTTAGAAGCCAAACCATAGAAAGTTTAATAAACCCAAAAGTTCATCTTTCTTCGTTTTCCCCAGCAACAAATAAGACATGCCTAAAAGGTCAAAAAAACCCCAAACAGATAATAATAACAAAATAAAAATCCATTTTTTAAATCTCCTTCACCCCTCCTCCCCCACAATTTATAATCAAACACACAACTTGGCATAAGAAAAACAAAAACTGATTATCATTTATCACTTGCAAAGACAACGCATGGTTCATACAGCTGGAAGAACATTAAGAAAGGAGAGAACCACACCTTGGATGATTTGCTTGCACTTCTAGGCAACCTTAAACCATGAGCAGAAGGCAAAGGAGTCATCGGCCTAGAAGCTGCCATATTAGCTGAGTTTGAAGGAGAAAACAAAGCAGCATCAGATAGCCTTTCACTGGAAGGAAGTGAACAATAATCATCATCATCTGAAGTTCTAGGTAAATAAGCACAAAGATTCAAGCCCAAAGCCATCTTCGCTTTTCTCCATTTGCTACCCATTTTGACTCAAAATAAAGTGTTCTGAACTTAAAAACAAAAACCCAAAGCTAAAAATCTGGATCTTGAAGTTGATTCTTATGTCAAATTGTTATCTTTCACAGAGTTTCTCTTTAGAAATGGGAAAGATAGAGAG